TCCGTAGTGATACTGCCTCGGAAACCCAAGGAGGGGTCGCTATGAGTCGGGGCCGACTCGACGGCAAACAACAACAACAACAACATCTTCACAGAATCAGACAGCTACATCTTTCTCCCATGGAGTGGCTGGTGGGTTCTAACCACTGACCGTTCAATTGAGAACAAAGTGCTTTACTCACTGTGCCACCAAGGCTCCTCCCATAAAGATTATAGCCAAGAAATTCTGTGAAGTTGTTCAACTCTGTAACACGTGAGGTTACTATGAGTCAGAATCAACTCGAGAGCAATGTGTCTGGTTTCTCTGTTATCGGTAGAGTACAAAGGAAGACTGACATGGTGAACCTTGCAAGGAATTTGATCAGAAGGCTTGGTGCAGTGTAGTAAATTACACAGTGCGGCTTTTCTAGCTGTAAGTCTTTGTAAACTCCATGACAGATTTTGCCATGAGCAACTGAGTAGCTCCTGATTGTTAAAGTTATCCACCTGGTGTTTTTCTGTTGAGAGTGTCACAAAGCAATCTTCTGGGAAATTCTCTCTCTCTCTGGTGTATAGAGTTCTGATGTTGGGATTGGTTAGTTTGGCCACTCTGCCAGGCTCAGAAGGAGCCCGCCTAGACGCAGAAGGAATCTCTCACTGCGGCTGAGAGATGTGAGATAGACGCATTGCTGAGAGAGACACTGAGAGACATGCACTGCTGAGAGAGAGATACTGAGAGACACCTACTGCTGGGAGAGATACTGAGAGAGACTGTTGGCTGAGAGACAGTGGGCTGAGAGAGACTGAGCATGTTCCTGAACTTGAATTGTAGCCTGTTGCTTCCCTAATTAACCCTATAATCTGTGAGTTCTGAGTGGCCACTGCAGCAAATTCTTGAAACCAGCAGAGAGGTGGTGGGTGCTGCAGGAGGAACAGTTGGTGTCAGGGTTGATGAAAGGGCTGGAGGTTGGCACATGTCTGGCCTTGCAGGGATAGGCCTTGGTGATTCTGTCTTTCTCTTGTGGGGTTAGAGCAGGTCAGAAGATGCTGCCTCCTTGCCCCTTTAGCACTTGGATTTGAGTGAAAGTTCTGGTGTTTACTAATCTTTCCCCCAAAAAAGAGATAACAACATTCCTTTGAATATCAGGTTACTGTAAGGATCAAATGAGTTAATGGATCTTTGGAAAACAGAGGTTGTTACCATAAAAATGTATACAAATGTTTTAATCACTTTATAATTTCAAAATGGGTACATAATCCTTATTAAGCAGCCATGGCAAATATGTTTTTATTTCAAAAATGGGGAAGGCCTAGAAAATGTAACAACTTCTGCCAATGCAGTGACAGAGCTCAGAACAGGACCTAATTTTCCTAATTTACCCTGAGTTCAAGGATTTCACAGGGAAGTTGGTCCCTAACCATTCTGAGACCTCTATGTACAGAAGATATTCAGTCTCATGCTAGACTCTGTTCCTACCACCGGGAAGGTACTTACCACCAAATACAGCATGGTGTACATGGAGAAGGAGGCATGGCCAGAGAAGAAGGACTTCCTGCAAGAGCAAGAGAGGGCCATGAAATTGCCATATTCACATCCCCAATACATGTCTGCCTGTCTGTCTTCCTTCCCTAGACTGATTCTGGAAGTGGACACTGTGTCTTGTTCATTTTTAGATACCTGCTTAGTGCTTTGGACTGCTGGAACACAGCAATCACCTATCATTGCATGAATCAACAAAAGAATGAATGCATGCACTACAAATGCTTATTTATGCAATTACGTGACCACTTGACTATGAGTTCCTGAAGAATAGGGATCACGCCTTGTGTGCCTGTGTAAGTCAGAGCCTAGTGCTAGGCCTGGCACATGCTTAGTGCTCAATGAACTGCACAGTATCAAAGGGGTGCACACTCTGAGAATGGGAACATGGTGTCTCACCTGGCTTCCTGGATTTTGCTGTCATCTCCTCTGCATCTGTAGTTCTCAATGTAGCCCTGCGAGCAGTTGATCTGGCTGAAATCTGGGTCACAGACACTCAAGAAGTGAGGACGAAGGCGCCCTATGGATACTTTGGCAATGTCTGTGAAGGACTGGCTGATGGCACAGCCAAAGAGGAAGCAACCCACTTGTCTATAGAGTGCTGCCACGTAGGGATTCTGAACTGTTGACTGGGACTTCTCCTTTAGGTAATATATCCGGTAGAATTCCCCTGTGATGATCTGAAAGGAAACCAACAGGAGAATTAGGCAGTATCAAGACTCATCATCCAAACTGATGCTGTTAACATATTTAACAACACAGAAGAATGTTCAGTAAATAACACAGTTTATAACCTATAAAATCCCAATTTTCTACTTAAAAGATACACAAACACATAAGCACAGGCAGAAAGAACAAAGTGCTAATGTAGTCATTCTTTTATTTTCTTTTTAAGTCTTACAATGGTTGTGCAATAGCTTTGCAACAAGAAAAATACACGATGAAATATATTTATTTGTAAATACGATTTTTTTTTTAAAAGAGACAGGCAAATATTGATTTACCTATGGGGAAAAAAAAATTAGATGAAGAATTAAGGACACTGTTAAGAGAAGCCAGGGATGTCTGAGGATCTGAGCAAATTTCCAGATTCTGGGTTTTAGAGTAAAGAATTACCAGTAACAATCTGACTCTAATAAGTCCCTTAGCCTTTGTGCCAACACTGAGTCATGGAGGTGTCTCAGTATAAAATGGTGAATGCCCAAAGGTCAATTTTTGGTTTGAATTCAGCCTCCCCTACCTACCTGGTGTCCTTCAGCAATGACCTTTCTGAGCTTCACTTTATTCTCCTTTCCAAAGCTGTTGGCTTACACGTGGTAATATTGATGGAAAATTAACTAGGCTATAAAGAGTGATCCTTTTGTTTCACACTTTATATTTAGAAGTATAAAATCAAAGAACCAATCTCACTCCCATCAAGTGGGATCCAACTCATAGCGACCCCTCCTTGGGTTTCTGAGGTGCTATCAGTATGGAAGCAGACTGCCCAACCTTTCTTCTGAGAAGTGGCTGGTGGGTTTGAACCACCAGCCTTCTGGTTAGCAGTCAAATGCCTTAGGCACCACATCAACATAGCTCCCCATCTAGAAGTATAGTGGGATGAGAAGTACACTGGTCTAAGGAACTTTTAGTATAATGCCCTTCAGTGTTCTTGAATTCCCCCCAGTACTTGTTTCGTCTCCTAAGATCCTGGGGGCAGTGAGTGAGTCTTGAATGTCATATCTTTCCTCCATTGTACTGTATCTACCCCTCAATGCTTATGGGAGATTGATCACTTCTATAAAAAGCCACCAAGCGTAACATACTATGTAACACTTGTCTTGTCAGTTTGCTGTACTATAGTGGGCTGCATGTTGCTGTGTTGCTCAAAGTTATGCCACATGTATTTCATGTGGGTCACCCATGGTAGTGGAGCTTCCAGACTAAGACCATCTAGGAAGAAGGACCTGACAATCTACTTTAAAAAAAATTCATCAGTGAAACTCTTAAGGAAAGCAGTGGAACACTGATATAGTACCAAAAGATGAGCCCTTCAAGTTGGAAGGCACACAAAATACAACTGAGGAAGAGCTGCTCCTCAAAGTAGAGTCAATCTTAATGACATGGATGGAATGAAGCTTTCTGGACTTTTGACTGCTGATGTGGCACAACTTGAAATGAGAACAGCTGCAAATATCCATTAATAATCAGGGCATGGACTATATGGATATGAATCTAGGAAAGTTGGAAGTTGTCAAAAATGAAATGGAAGACATAAATGATAGTCTAGGTATTAGTGAAGTGACATGGACTGGTTACTGGCCATTTTGAATTGGACAACTGTATAGTCTACCATGTTGAGAATGACAATTTCAAAAGAAATGGTGTCATATTCATAATGAAAACGAATATTTCAAGATCTATCCTGAAGAATAACACTGTCAGTGACAGGATAATGTCCATACACCTACAAGGAAGACCAGTGAAAATGACTATTTTTCATATTCATACACCAATTACTAATGTCAAAGATGAAGCAACTGAAGAGTTTTACCAACTTCTGAAGTTTGAAATTGATCAAACACGGAAGGCAAAAGTTAGAAACAAAAAAGTAGGATCAGTAGTTGAAAAATAAAGCCTTGGTGATAGAATAATGCTGTGATCACATGGTAAGAATTTTACAGGGCTAACGACTTACTCATTTCAAACACCTTTTTTCAACAATATAAATGGTGAATATATGCACGGACCTCACCAGATGGAATACACAGGAATGAAATCAATTATGTCTGTGGACAGAGATGACAGAGAAACTCAATATGATCAGTCCAAACAAGGGCAGGGGTTGACTTTGGAACAAACCATCTTGCTCACATGTAAGTTGAAAGTGAAGGTGAAGAAAATTTAAGTAAGTTCACAAGAGCCAAAGTATGACCTTGAGTATATCCCACTTGAATTTAGAGACCATCTCAAGAACAGATTTCATATGTTGAACACCAATGACTGAAGGACAGGCAACTTGTGGGATAACATCAAGGACATTACACATGAAGAAAACAAAAGGTCATTTAAAACACAGGAAACAAAGAAAAGACCAAAATGTATGTCAGAAGAGACTCTGAAACTTGCTCTTGAACACAGAGTAGCTAAAGTGAATGGAAGATATAAGCAGTAAAATGGCTGAACAGAAGATATCAGAGGGCAGCTTGAGAAGAAAAAGTATAGTGTTATAATGAAATGTACAGACCTGGAATTAGAACACCAAAAGGGAAGAATATGCTCAGCATTTCTCAAACTGAAACAACTGAAGAAAAAATTCAAGCCTCAAGTTGCAGTATTAAAGGTCTCTTTGTACAAAATATTGAACAACATACCATACACATACCCACGGTCATTAAGTGCTTCTGCCTCATAGTGACCCCACAGGACAGAGTAGTACTGCCCCATAAGGTTTCCAAGGCTGTATATCTTTATGGAAGCAGACTGGGTCATCTTCCTCCTGCAGAGAGGCTGCTAACCAAACTTTGGTTAGCATCTGAATGCTTTAACCACTGTGCCACTAGAGCTCCTTTTGAAGGAAACAGGAAACATAAAAAGAGGATGGAAAGAATACACAGAGTCACTGTACCAAAAAGAACTGATTGACATTCAACATTTCAGAAGGTAGCATATGATCAAGTACTTATAGTATTTAAGGAAGAAGTCCAAGCTACACTGAAGGCATCGGTGAAAAACAAGTCTCCAGGAATTGACACACTGAGATGTTTTAACAAACAGATGCAACACTGGAAGTGCTCACTTGCCTATGCCAAGAAATTTGGAAGAAATTTGCCAGTTAACCAGAAGAGATTCATATTTGTGCCCATTCCAAAGAAAGGTGATCCAACAGGATGTAGAAATTATTGAACAATATCATTAATATCACACACAAGTAAAATTTTACTGAACATAATTGAAATATGGTAAAAGGAGAATATCAACAAGGACCTGGAAGAAATTCAAGCCAGATTCAGAAGAGGATATGGAATGAGGGATAGCTTTGTGATGTCAGACGGACCTTGGCTGAAAGCAGAGAATACTAGAAAGGTGTTTATCTATGTTTTACTGACTGTGCAAAAGCATTTGATTGTGTGGATCATAACAAATTATTGGTAACATTTTGAAGAACAAGAATTCCAGAACACTTAACTGTGCTCATGTGGAACCGGTACATAGACCATGAGGCAAATGTTTGCATAATATACACTGCATGGTTTAAAATCAGGAAATGTGTGCATCAGAATTGCATCCTTTCACCATACTTATTCAATCTGTATGCTGAGCAAATAATCTGAGGAACTTGATTATATGTAGAAGAGTGGGGCATCATGATTGAAAGAAGACTCATTAACGATCTGTGATATACAGATGACACAACCTTGCTTGCTGAAAGGGAAGACTCGAAGCACTACTCATGAAGGTCAAAGACTACACAGCCTTTAGTATGGATTATACCTCAATATAAAGAAGACAAAAATCTTTACAACTGCACCAATAAGCAACAACACAATAAATGGAGAAAAGCCGAGTTCATTTTACTTGGATCTACAATCAACTCCCATGGAAGCACAAATCAAGAAATCAAATGGTGTATTGCACTGGGCAAATCTGCTGCAAAAGTGCTCTGTAAAGCGTTAAAAGCAAAGAAGTCACATTGAGGACTAAGGTACGCCTGACCCAAGCCATGGTATTTTCATTTGTCTCACATGCTTGTGAAAGGTGGACAATGAATAAAGAAGACAAAGAAGAATTGATGCCGTTCAATTATTGTGTTGGCCAAAAATATTAAATATATTATGAACTCTCAAAAAAGGAATTAATCTGTCTTTGAGGAAGTCAGTCAGAATGCTCCTTAGAAGTGAGGCCAGTGAGATATCATTTCGTGTACCCAGAACATGTTATCAGGAGAGACCAGTCCCTGAAGAAAGATAGCATGCTTGGTAAAATAGAGGGCTCATGAAAAAGACAAAGTCCTTCAATGAGATGGCCTGACACAGTGGCTGCAATAATGGGCTTGAACATAGCCTCACTTGTGTGGACGGTACAGGACTAGGCAGGGTTTCATTCTGTTATACATAGAGAGGGTTGTTAACAAATCAGAAATGACTCAACAGCACCTAACACCCCCCCCCAGGCCTTGCTTTTATATATATTCCTTCATAAACCATAAAATAGAAATGATTGAGGATCAGAGAGGCAACTACCTTGCCCGACACTTCCTGCTTTGGGGGCTCACAGCTGGCTGATTCTCTCTGTAAAGTAAAAGCCTATGACGTCTAATGGCAGAAAACCAATTCTATCTTGGTGATGTACATTCCAAAGCAAGATACAGACCACAAAGCCTGCTGCCCTTGTCTTAACTCCATAGTGCAGCCCTGGCCACTTCCTGGTTTCAACCACAGCCCAGGAACAGCAATGTTTCACCCTTCGCTTACCACAAAAGTCCCTTTCACATTTCCTCCAGGGTGGGATGATGAGCCACACTTGCCCTTTCAGGGAGCAGAGAGCATGTTCGCAACCACAAGGGAAGCAATAGACAGACATACCGGACACTCCTTTCCAAAGGCTCTTTTACAGTGGGAGAAGGCATCAAGATATAGGTCTAGCCAAGGTCCTCAAGCCTCCAAAGTCTAAGGGTAGGACAGTGTAAGGATAGGGAGGA